TTTTTTTTTTTTTTTTTTTTTTTTTTTTTTTAATCATTAAACTTACAGTTTCCTATCAAGAGTAGGACTTGAAACATTTTCTTCAATGATGTGAAAAATGTTTTTAAATGCAGTATTTTAATAATTTTTTCCAGATGTCATTCTTACTGAATCTCAAGAAAAAGATGCCAACATCTTTATTATTGAAAATAATGAGTTTCATGAAAGGAAACTAGCACAGGATATAGCCAGGTACTATGGAAAACCAGGTAGGTAAATTATCAACATAAATTTTGATGTAAACTTGAAAAACTGACCGTCTTCTGGAAGACCCAGAAGACGGCCTAAATCCGCCCCTGAGACAAGTCCAGTGGTGATTTTTGACTAGGGGAATTTTTTTTTTCTCAAGAAAGATTAGAGATATTTTGTAGCTGTAGACTGCAGATCTTTTATGTTTGTCCCAGAAAAGTTGTTCCTTAAATTGTAGGGTTTATACATTTGAAATTTCAGATTTCGCTACCTCTTCAACAAATGTTAATCAGTCACTTGATACCAGCAACCCAGGTTTTATGAGGGATCAAACAAAAGCCTATCATCCTATTGTCCAACAAACATGGCATGTACCATCACAAGTTAGTCAGGTATAGCATTTATTTATTTATTTATTTATTTATTTATTCAAAGAATCTGTCTTTGCAGGGACAAACAATTTGAAGCTGTATCGTATCACACAGTTTTAAGGAATTAATACTCTCATTGTTGTATGAAATTGCATCTTTTACATTTGACAGTTACAGTAGTCATATTATTGAAGCATTTTATTACTATGTGAATAAGGTGAAAATTACATTCTTTACAAGTTCTTTGTGATATATATTTTGTGTTCTGTGTCTGTTTCAGAATGCTGCAGTTGTAACCCAGATCAACCCAGCAGCTTTGCAGCCTGTCCACCAGAGGGCATTCACAGCCTCCAGTCATTTGGAGCAATCATGGAAGACAGAACATCTTCAGCAATGTGACAGGTTATATAATCCGGTAAGGATAGTATTACAACATAAAGTGCATGGAGGATGTCTGAAAGGATCTGTTACTTAATATTACTTAATAGTTAAAGAATTGATTACAGTTGTAAATAGTTATAATTGATTTGACACTTAAAAGGCAGGTGACATGTTCTGTTTTTTATTAAGGTGACAATATTGACAAAATATTCAATACATTGCATAATGTATAACCTTTCTTTCATGTGCCTGTGTTCTTTTTTTTTTCCTGAAACGGGAGTGAAAGCAATTTGATCTTTTTGGTAGTCAATATATAATTACTGTAGAACTTAAACTTCTGGAAAAAGGTAGTTGATGCTTACAAGTGGGGTTATTTTATTGAACTTCATGAATTTCATTTAACGTGAAGTGTAAATTGTGATGTTGAATCTTACATCAACCTAATTATTGTTTTTTATAGCTTCCAGAATCATTGGACATTTTAGACTATGTTGATGTGAAGGATCCTTCTACAATGGACATCTCGGCATATCATGATCTTATAGTTGAAGGAACATGGAGGACTCCAACAAAAAGGAGACGTTTTAACATTCTGAAAAATGCTGAAGATCTTTTCCTCAAAGCTGGATCATCAGTGGATTCCCCTAGCCCAGAGCAGGAATTTTATAGAAGGAAAATGTTCTAATTTGTTCCTAAGTACATTTATGCCAGTGAACCTTTTTCAAAATCGAATACTTCAATGTTGTATTATAAAGTTTGCTGTCTGAAACTTTTATCTGTCATTTTCATGGTGACTGCATCATATAGCCGCTCACTGAACTGTAACTAGCAGTGATACAAAAATGTGTTACAGAATATAGATAGTAATGTATCAATTTAATATTTATATTTCATGAAGATAAAATGTATTGTTAAAAATGAGATTTTTTTTATAAACAAGCACACTTTATTGCTAAATCAAAACGTAAGTTTTTTTTAACACGCATGTTTGCCCTCAGCTTGTTTCGTTGATACGTTGTACATGTACTAAGAATTTAGTACAGTTTTCAATAAATAATAGTTCTGAAATTGTCAATGAATTAAAGTTTATTTAACGTGTATTCACAGTTTTAAAGTTCAAATTCACTGCCATACTCTATTATTTCTCGTAAACGTATAGAGATTGCTGTCAATAAGTTTAAGATACGTTACTCTCAAAAGTTATCAAGAGTAATTTAGGATAAAAGCAAGTACAAAAAGCCTACCTTCAAACATGCTATCTAAGGAAATCGAAACGGGCCTTGTCACACTTTAAATGTCAACAGCACCCGAAGAATCTTTACAGTAACTGGGAATGTTTTGGTATCAAAATCACTAGGAAAGGTTTTCAATTTCTGATGCATCAAAGGCGATTTACATATTAGCTTAGTTCATTAAAATGGGTGAACATACAAAATAAAATAGCATTTCTCTATAGTCATGCTCGACTTCAAAATTGCCGTATGATTATGGCAAATTCATTGGCACCTGGGGAAAAAAAAAGAAATTGTTCTACAAATGGAATGTAGCATTACTATATACACACACAAAAAAAAACATTTTTCATTTTAATGCAATTAGCATCCTAACGCCTGCCGAGATTCATCATTTCTTCAGCTATTTCGCTTCGTCTGCGAGAGCGTAGAAGCTGCCCTGCAGTACCAGGCAGCCGGCTTGAATTGCCATTGGCGTTTGAGCTCGAACGGCTTGGGGTATGAGATCTTTGATGGGCGTGGTTAGTTTCTGTTCTAGAGTTGGTTGCACTGTTATTAAAATTGGAGTGATAGTCAGCCACACGTGTGTTTTGATCGGCTTGGTCGCGTATTCGTGGATTTCTTCCGCGCGTGCCAGCGTTCTCTCCATTTCGCTGTCCGCCGTTCGTGGGACGGTTACTAGTAGTTCCAGTCGCATTATTGGAATTTCTTTCCAGGCTCTCTGCCTGCCTACGTCTAGCAGCCGCTAGTCCTTCGTTTATGCGATCATTACTGTTGGTATTTCTCCTGAAACGTTTTTGTGGGGCGTATTTTGTTGCTCTTCTGGGACTTGCGCCGTTACTGGTCACGGTTGCGACATTGCCGCTTTCCTGCGATGTACCTGGAACTGCCGCGGAACTTGTCTCTAGGTTTGCGCTTAGATTTGGAGCAAAACTGTCAGAATTTTCAGTATTTCTAATAGCCCCAGTGCTTTGTCGAGCCACTGAATTTGAGACTCCATTTGAAGAATTGCCTTCGCGAGAGGCATTGCCCGCGTTTGAAGACTCATTAATACTGTTTCTAAGAATACGCTGCCTGACAGGTAATGGGGGTCTTGGAGAAATCACCTCGTCGGCGGCGGCTTGATGTTCACGGCTACCCGATGGGATAATAGATCTGTTTGAGGTTGTGTTGGCGTTGGTATCCGAGCGGGGACTGTCCGATTGTGACAATGAAGGCAACTGCCTTGGCGACTGAGATGTCGGTTGAATTTGTCTTGGAGATGATGATGATCGTTGTTCTGTTTGGCCTGTGGCATTGGCTGTCCGACTAAGGGCTTGAGATTCACTGGTAGCAGATGGATTGCTTCTGTTGGTCGCCGTGTGATTGATAGAATTTGAAAGACTGACTGAGCCTCGGATATTTGAGCTTATTCCAGCGTTGGCTGTGGACGACACTTGGCTTGACGCTGTGTTATTTAGGGACGGTCGAATTTCCACAGGCGCATCTCTAACTTGAGATAAAGCTCTCGGCGCTTCTGTCTCCCGTCGCAGTGAGGTTAGTCTCTCACCAGTGGGCCTAGAAGTACTGGATGTTGTTGAAGGATTGTTTGTTGATGCCCGTGGCGTAGAAGTGCCTAAAAGTTCCTCCCTTATTTCACTCCTACGTCGTGCCCGTAATTCTTCATGAGACGCGATATTGCCATAGTAAGTCGCCGCCTCGGCGCCCCACCCACTGTTAGAACCTGCACCATTGTGGGAGGAGGACAGAGATGCACCGGTGTTTCGGGCGGCGGGAGTGACTCCTGGGCCGTTTGCTGTTTGATCGTAGCGCCTAGTTTCTGCCTGCAGTCGAATGCGGGAAACGATCCCCGACGAATCGCTTGAAGCGTCCGAGTCGGAGTCGCTATCACTCTCGAGCGCATCAAAGCGACCATATCGGGCGGTGACAGCGGCCGCCCCGCGGGGAGATGGCCCACTATTTCCTCCAGCACCGGTGTTTCTACTGGTTAGAGTTCCTGGTCTCACAGGTGTGCTGAGCAATACGTGGAATAAGGATCCCAACTCGTCCATTTGTTCGTTCATGGAGATCACTTCGTCCAGTCGCTGCATTCTGACGTTGGGATCAGCAGCTTCGGAGAAGCGTTGCAGGGCACGGCTGCGCATCGCCATCTCTAGCTGAAGGAGCGTCATCATTTGTTGTAAAAGTTCTCGGCCCTGAAAATAACATTGTCATAACAGTTGATTATTCAGCAAATCTTGAGATCAATTAAGCGCTCACCCACCTGGCCATGAAACAATATTCTTTTATAGACACATATTTCATGATTTCTTAATTTCAGATTTGAATTTCATCAAAAAAGTGTAAGGACATCATGTAGTAAAGTAAAATGCATAAGTAATGACAAATTATATTTGACTGTGTGTTAAAAAAATAAACCGAAAGGCTAAACACTTACTTGTCTGATCTGATCTCTAACGTCAGTCACTTGCTGTCTAGGTCCGGGCCCCAACGTTGGTAAAACAATAAGACCACCTAGCGAAGGGAACTGCAGGCCAACCGCCCTTGGGGGTGACGGCCTCTGAGACCGCAAACTCGCCCAGTCTACATCATCATTATTAAACTGCTGTCTCCCGTGACTGTGGAGCAAGAATATTTTCAACGGCGCTGAGAATGAACATGTCGCCTCGTGACACTTTACTTTTTTATCCCCCAGTTGCTTGTCTATTTCTTTGTTGTCAGCATAATCTGTTTGAACTACGCGGCATACTGGGCATTTGTCGCTGTTTGCACCGTATGTCATAGACCAGGCAAAGATACAGGTTCCGCAAAACAGGTGTTTGTTTTGGCATTGCTTGCAGCGGTTGGCTACGAGATAACTGAAACGAAAGAAAATTACTTCCAATTTAATATTTATTTATTTTTCATTTTTATTTTATTTAATTTATTTTTTCCTCGAGTCTATTGCTAATCTGAGGCGAAATTTTTCAAGTATTAAAGGCCCGTGTGACAATCCATTAGTCTATTTATCACGCTATGATATCACGCAATAATTTAGCTTACAAAACCAATATATAACAACCTACAGTTGCAATCAATGCAGGCATGTAATTGTCCATATTACTGAACATTCTATATTTCATGATATTTATTCGTTGGTATCTAATCACTCGTCTCGTGGCCATATAAATCACTGAAATGTATGTGAGCATGAGATTATTATACATGTATATATATGAATGATGCGCATCTGGTATTATACTTGACTGTTGATAATGCGGTTGGGCACGATTCTTGGTACAGAAATGGACTGACTAATAGGCCCAGTCAGTCGAGTATCTGGTTGACAACTTACCAAATGTTGCACTGCCATTTTTCCCTGTCTTCTTCGCTCATATCAAGGAAGATCTCATCCGGAAACCCGCCCACCTTAACACCAGCGGGCTTCAAAATATTGTCCAGAACATTTTGGAAAGTCAGTTCCCGTACATCCCCTGCCATGGTGATAGTTCTGTTAGCTTGAAATATCTGGCGAACACATTTTACAGAGATTCGGTAATATCCAGATTATTTTGTTATCGTCTACTGACTCTAAACCCTTTAATTTTGCTTCAGGTTATTCCTCCTAGAGCCTTGGCATTTAAAGAAATGCTTCATCATGGTGCACCTGATGAAATCGCATTCCTCCGGTCCCTGGTTCTTGTTTCACAGCCTCAAGCAAAACGTTCGCATAAGTATACTGGCTTGACACAACAATTTGTGACGAAAATTGCTTTTGGATGTCTAATGAACTGACGTAAATCGCTGGAGATGCGTTCAGGACCGCAAACAGTCGTTTTTCAGTCTTGCATGTCTCAAGCAGTTTTATCCCAACTTACTGCCGCCATCTTGTGTAGTCATGTCAATTGTGTAAACATTGGGCATTAGGCCAGGTCAGTTATTTGCTTTACCACAACAGGCATAATAGAATCGGAAGGAGGTCCTTTATTACAACCATAGAATGTCAATAGCACAGTGTTTCAATGACCGATTTTCAGCATTTCATATGCAGATTTTTTGTTCTTAAAAAGCGTATGTTGTATGATAAGAAGGGACGTAAGGTGATCGATTTTCCGTACTCTGTTATCGTTTAAAGCTGATTTAGGTTATGTCAGGTGCATGATGGCTTGCACCGACACCTGCAGGCGACGGGAGAAACTAGCTTTATTTGCTATTAGAGTTTTAATGATAACAATATGTGCTTACTGTAAAAGATAATAATGAGAGCACCTGGGTAATTTGCCCTGCAGCGCGGGAGAGGGGTTAACACCAATTTAAATTAAACAGTCTTTCGTTTCACATGAAGTTTTCCCTAAAACAATTAACAGTGGCGGATTTAGAGGGGGGGGTCAAGGGGGTCCTGACCCCTCCCCCCTTTCGGTTTCTGAAAAATATATCAGATAAATATATTACTCCCCTTTGGAAATTAGAATTTTGACTAGCTAAATCATAGTTCTAAACTATATCAAAGGGCACTGTTTGCTCTCCAAAAACACCAAAAATTTTTCGGGGTCTTTAAACAGGCCCCGAACATCAATCACACCAAGGGGGCGATGGTCGGCTTCGCATCCAGGGTCTGTCGTTCCAGACCCCCCCCCCCCCCTT